ATATCTATCATATATTAAATAAAAATTATCAATAAGATAGATATAAATATTGAATTCATAAATTTAAATTAATCAATTCAATGATTATTTAGAAAAGACTGGAAAGTTTTTAATGTTTCAATTCTAAATTTATATAAAAATTAAAATTTCATTATTAAAAATATTAAAATATATATTAAATATGTCTTCAAAAGAATCACGTAGACGCTCAAACAGACGTTCAAATCGCAAATAAAAATAGTAAGAATCTAAAATTAACATTTTTATAGTTCTACTACCACTTCTTCTATTGTGACTGATAATGAATCTAATGGAAGCTCTTCAAGTGATGATGATCAACATTATAAATATAGAAGAGGCGAATATATTCGAGAATATAAGGTAAAGAGACACATTTTTGATGGTACATTTGGAAGAGTCTTGAAAGTCAAAAGAAGAAATTCAAAAACATATGCTTTAAAAATTGTCAGACGTAATCATGTTGAGAGTGCTCAATCAGAAGCAGATGTTTTGTTTCATTTAAAAAGAAAAGGACTTAATAGATACTTTGTTGAATTGTATGAATGTTTTCATCATAGAGGATATTATTGTATGGTATTTGAGAGGGTAATTATATACCATCATTTAATTTTAGTTAGGACCAAGTCTATATGAATTGATGAAATTAAATAAAAATCATGGAATTCCAATGACTTTAATAAAAAGCATTAGTAAATAATTATTAAAGTATATTGGTTAATTACATGATTTAAAAATTGTTCACACTGATTTAAAACCAGAGAACATACTTTTTAGTAAAAATTATAAATTGAAAAAAGGATAATCAGATTTGTATATATATAATATTTATATTCTTAATTAGATATCTACCACAGGATGACAGAATTAAGATCATAGACCTTGGTGGAGCAGTATTTGATAATGAAGGACATGATTGTATTATTAATACACGTCAATATAGAGCTCCTGAGGTATAGTTGTAATGTAGTGAATGGAATCATAAAAGTGATGTTTGGGGGATTGCCTGTATCATCGCTGAAATGTATTTAGGTAAGAAAGAAGAATTTAAAATCTTTTAGGACACTTACTATTTTAAACAAGAAAAAATGAGTATGAACATATGGCTTTGGTTGAAAAAATCACTGATTAAAATTTCCCTTATTGGATGGCCAGCAATGTTAAAGGATCATTGAAATAATGTTTCACAAAAAATTCTACAAATGGGAAATACTACATTTGGCCTTAAGAACAAACAACCAAAGAGAGCATTGCTAAAGTCGAAAATCAAAAACCATTAAGGGAATTGATACTTGATCCATTATTAAGAGATTTATTATAAAAAATGCTTGAAATTGATCCCGATAAAAGAATCAGTTGTCACGAAGCTTTGCATCACAAATTCTTTTGTCATTGATAATGAAAAATTCATTTTATAAAATTTTAATTTTATTCCTTATTGTAACATATGACACTTAGCTCATCCATTTATGTTCAATAGATATATTATTATTAACATTAATCAAAAGTAATCTCTAAATGACAATATTAGATCAAACTCTAAAAAAATTAATATACTTCTACTATTCTTATTATTATTATTTCTATGATATTACTTAACTAGAACTTAATAATAAGAGAATGTTAAACTTCTATTTGAGAATATAAAATATTAACAGATTTATATAATACTATTGTATAGTATAATTCTGATATAATATATTGAATAATTTCTTAAATTAAATTTTAAATTATTTGTTTTTACTTCTAAAACATAAATTTCACAATTACAAGGATTCTTTTAATATAAATGTTTATATATAATTTTGCTACTAAATTTAATTTTTGTATGATTAAAGATATAAGTATTGTTTATTTTGGATATTATTTTTTAAAATTATTTAGAATAATGATTACTCATAATAATTATATCTTAAACATTTAGAAATTTAACATAAATAGAAATAACCTACAAATTGAGATTTAATAATATTTATGTCAATACTCAAAATAATGTTTTATGCTAATATAGTATTAAATTAATTCATTCATTATCATCTTCAATAATATTTTTTGATAAAGTCTTCATAATAGATCTCCATTCTTCTATAATTGCTTTTAATTATTGTTTCATTTCTGTAATGAAACTCAATAACTCATCCTACATAATAATAGACATTTTATCGCTTCTATCTTTGTTTTTTTAATATTTAGTTTTGAGTACATCCATTTCTAAATCTCTCTATGAATAATAATAATAAATACTCTGCTAGAATTATCTGTATATTACATTTTAAGTTATTCTATTCTTTATTAATCAATCAATAATTATTATTATAAATTTCTTCTTCTTTTACAAGCAGTTAATGCCCATTCAATTTCAAATAAACAATTTTATAGTTTAGGTATAAATTTTCTATCAATATCTTCAATTTCTCTATTAATTTTTCTTTATCTGATTTCATTGTTATACTTCAACTATTTAAATTATGAAATATCATCTTCACTTGCAGATCCTAAACCATCTAATAATTTAATATATTTTTAATACTCCAAGAATACAAAGCTTCATTTTAATCATTTAATGTTTTAGCTTCTTCTCTCAATGTTATAACATGTTCTTCAACAACAGTTTTTAACTTAGTACCTTTCATAGATAATGATAAAAGTAATGTTTCATCATAAGTTAAATCTTTTTCACTTCCATCAAACATTTTTGATGGATCTTACCCTTTGGTTGTTAATGTACTACTATTCCATAAAGTCTTTACTGATTATAATAAATTATCACATTTTTATTCAATAGTTTTATTTTATTCTAATTCACCTTTTAAAAGAGAAATAAACTAATATATTATTTTTTATAAATACTTTTTCTTTATCTTCAATAAATATTCTTAATTCTGGTACATATCGTAAATGATGATGATGAAGTATTCTTTAAAGAAATTGTTAAAGGTCTTTCCTTCTCTTTTCGGAGAACTAATTTTTAAATTTTAAAACTCATAAATTTACTTCATAACTAGCTAAATTGACTTTAGTAAGCAAATGCTTTTCAGGAATAGCAGGAATTATGTATCCTCCATATTTATTAATCAATTCCTAATATAACCACTCAAAATCACTAAATCTCCTTGATACTTCAGTTTCCCATTCTCCTCCTTACTTCTTTGTTCTTACTAGATATAATTTGTATTTAGTTATGTATCCCTCTTTAACTACTTCTCCATCTTTAACTTCTACAATACGATTATTCATAAATTCATTAACAACAATTGCATTATAAAAATCAACATTAGGTATTACATTAGCTTAATGACTAATAATAAATTTAATTCATACTCAAAATTTAATAAATCCATTTGTTAAGTCCCATTATTTTCTAAATCCTCTAATAAATTCATTTGTTTTTATAATATAAAATTAATTATAAACAAAAATGAACACAAAGTCTACATCTCTATATATAGGTAGTAAATAATTGAATCAAAAGAGAATACGTTCACCACTTAAAAAATAATCAATGATTTTTAAATAAAATTCAGATGAAGAAGATAATCAATCAGAAGATGAAAAAATGGAAGTTATTAATCTTAATTACTTTAAAGCAAAAAAGCATTAAAAAAAGTTTAATTTGTAATAAATGTTACAATAAGGTAAATTGGCTGAGGATGAAGTAGATCATAATCCACATTTCCCAAGTCCAACTATTAATTCAAAATTAATACATAATATATTCTAAATTTATCATTCAGATAGAAAGGAAACTTTTATTGAAGATAAAATACATGGGACTGCTGAAAAAATATCAAAATAAACTAATTAAAAACTTGTTAATCAAATATTATTTAATAAAATGAGATAAAAAAGAGTTGTCTCATAACATGAATTAAATAATTCAACTTCAAATGTATTATAAAGTTTTAAGAATCTTTCTTCAATTTTTAAAAGTGTTAATTAAATTGTTGATTATCATGCTGTTGCTAATTAAATTAGATAATCTTAAGCATAAATTACAATCAATAAAGAAGAACATAAAAATTTGGAAAGATAATAATTCAATTTTAATTATATTATAGAAGGCAGATTAAATTAAATTAAATTACATAGCTCAGAAATATATTAATATTAAATGAGCTTATAAAAATTAAGAATGGAAAATTGTAAATTAAGAGATCATGTTTCTAAATTAGGTGAAGAAATTGATTAAATTAAATCAAAATATAATAAATAAAGATAAGTAGCATTACATTAAGAAGATAAATTACATCCTAATAAAAAATGGGATAGACATTAATATTTTTAAACTATTGATTAAAATGAATAAATGGAATTATCAAGAATTAAAACATTTTATATGGAATATTAATAATAACTATAATTTAATTAAACCTAATTAAAAAGAGAAGAAGATATGCTACAAGATATTAAATATACTAAGAAATAAATCAAATAAGATTTAGCAGAGTTCTTAAAATAAGTATTGCAGAGTGAAGAAATTTAGTAACTTATATACTTATAATACATAGAATATCAGGATCTATAATAATTATAGTAAAACTATTAATGTAAATTAATGAAAGTGTGACATAAGCTGATTTCCCATGTTATCTTGATAATCAATCAAGGATCTTCCTTATATCAAAGGCTAAATTAGAAATTAATAATGATAATTTGAAATTATAAATGAAAGAAAATTAAATAAAATAATAATAATAATAAGGAAATAGAGTTAATTATGAAAAGAAACTATTTTAAGTTATGAATTCTATTTCAAATATGAGAAAATAAAAATATACTTTAAAATCATTTGAATTACAATAATAAATTGATTCAAAATAAGATAATGTAAGTTAAAAATTATCTAATTAATCACTCTAAATTAATAATTTGGATAATTAAATACTTGAATTAGAAGAATAAGAAATCTAAAGACTTTAAATACTTTATTAAGGAAAACAATTACCTAATAGTTCATTATAAAAACTCATTAAAACTGTCTAAGCTGAATTTGGTTATAAATAGATGAATTAAAAATTAAGCATAATTATTTAGAATTATGATACAATTAAGAGTTAAGTCAATAAATCAATTAAGTGAAAAAAATATCAATATACATCTTACTGTTATGAATTTTAACATATTTTTTCAATTAAAATAACTAATCTACTATTTTATATAAATCATTAATATTCTTTATTTATTTAGTATCTATTGTATTGTTATATATCTAGATAACTCAAAAATTGTAAAACTTATTATTTATTAAATAATAAAAGAAAGATCTTGTTTATTTTTTGAATATCAAAGATATCTTTAAATAAATTAAAGCTAAATAAAGATGATTACAAAAATTAAGAAATTTAATTTATATGATAAATTATAAATTAATCAAGATATGATTTTAACTTGAATAAATATCATATACAAAATACATATGCAAAATGAAATCATAATAAAATTGAGGGAATCCAAAAATGTTATAACTTTATTTAAAATTTTAGAGGTAATCTAAAAATATATTATTTAAATTTATATTTCTTTTTTCAAAAGTAGAGAATATAATGAAAATAGATATTAAAATACAATTAGATAATTATATTAAAATAATACTTTATAGATTAAGTTAAATTACTCAATTTTTTTTTGGTGTAATATCTCTGCTTGTTACAATACTTTATGTTCCATTTATTGATAATTAACATTGTGTTCTAGACATCTATAAAGAAATGTATCTACTTCTTTTGAATTATTAGGATATATTTTAATCTTGTTATACAATTTTTATCTATTTATTTTATGAAAATTTAACATTTTAGGTTTATGAATTTTATTCATTTTTGTAAATTTATAATTCTTTATTAGATTAAACATATAATCTTTTTCTATTTGTGAATTAATTCTCTTTTTATTTAGTTTGATTATGTCTTAAATCTATAAGATTTAATAACATTTTTGAATTGCTTGGAAATATTAAATTATTCAATAAAGCTCTACCTTCAATAGGACTAGAGATAAGTTTTTAAGATGGTTAGTGATACATCAAATTAAATTCTGTAAAAATCTTCTAATGACGATGAACTTATTGTAATTTTTTGACCAATTATTATTTTTTATTTTTTACAGATGTAATTTATTAATTCAATTAATTATATTTAGGAGAGAGATGCTCATAATCAGATTAGGTTTATTGTTGTATGTTTTATTCAGTTTATACTAATTAATTTTATTACATAAATAATTATGAACAAATTTGAAGATGAATTAAAATATGCATAAAAAGCAACAAGCAATGAATTTCTGTCTTGGTTACAGAATGTGAGTTATGAACTTATTAAATAAAAAGAATACTCATATGGCTAAGAATTTTTTAGATCTTAACAAAATTTATATGAACTTATATTCAAATAAAATGGT